AGCCGCACGCGCGCCCCAGCCCCTGCGCCGCCAGCTCCTGCCGGATCTTGGCGATGGCCGCCGGGTGCTGCAGGAGCAGCAGGACGAGGGATGTGCTGGCGCTGGCGGTGGTGAAGAAGGCGGCGAAGAGAAGCTCCACCGCCGACTCCTGCAAGACAGCCCGGGCGGCGCTGAGTCTCCGTCGGCGGCGCCCCGGCCTCCCGAGGCCGAGACGTGCCAGGGGCCGGGAGTCCATTGAATGTGTCTGCCACGTGGGCAAGCCACGATAGCGTCGGGCAAAACCAGGACCTATCCGCTGGCCTTGGGAGCGTTCCCAGAGATAGTGCTAGGAGCTTATTCTGTGGGCTGTTCTTAGTGCTTTAAAGCATATCGACTCATTCCGTGCTCAGCCCCGTCCTGTGAGGCACAGTTACTACCCTCATTTTGCAGGGTTGGGAAGGTCCCTGCGGCCAGCAGTCCCAGCAGGACTCTGGAGTCCAGGGCTCTTAACCGCCTGGTGGTGCTGCCTGCAGCCCCAGCTGGGGCTCCTGACCCTGACTGCAGTGGGAGCGAGGACTGTGCCCGCAGCCGCGCCCAGCCTCGCACCAAAGCAGGCACCACGGTTCCCTCCTCCGGCTGAGCAGAGTGGTCCCAGCCAGTGACTAAATCTCTTCCTGGTCTGCCTGGCCCAAGAAAAACAGAGGAGGGGCCTGGTGGTGTCGTCCTCTAGGCCCTAGCCCTCGCTGCTCGCCTCTGCCCTCCCAGCTCTGTGTTCCTTCCTGGCAGCACCAGTGTGTTTTACGCACTGATTTGTGTGATCATAAGATGGTGTTCTCCACCCCCGATCACTCCTAAATCCCCAGGCCCAGCACAGAGCCTGACACTAGGTACATAACATTTGTGGAATGAATGACCCGGTCCAAGGCTAACCGTCTGCCCTGAACAAAATGGGGAGCCAGGACAGATACCTTGAAGCACCAACAGCTGCCTTGGACAGGCCTAGCCTGCCCAACCTGCCCTGAACCCCAGACCAGAAAGGAAGATTCCGGCAGCCAGTCGCCTCCTGAGAACCTGGGACACCTCCTCCCCATCCCTGTCAAGGCAGTGGCACCATGCACTCCTTTCCACACCACCCCCTTCACCACCCAGAACTGGTCCTACCCTTGGGCTCTCCCAGGACTCGGCAGCCACTGTTCACTTACTTCTAAGCCCTGACTCTCCCAGACTTCACAACCACCCAGGAGTCAGGGTGGAGATTATTAGCCCTGTTCTTAGAGAAGAAACCAAGGCTGAGCCTCACACTTTGAGTCTGGTGAAAAGGGGAAATAGAGGCCCAGAGAAAGGATGGGAGTTGCTTTCAGGGGGCTGAGGTGTTTCCATTTCTAACTTTCTCCTGTTCCCCAACCTCTCCACTCCTGTGGGGGGCTGTCAAGCACTTCCTGGGGGCCATTCCATAGCTTCCCCCACCTCCACTGCATGTGCTCTGCGCATACATGGGGATGGGTTCCAATTATTTGGGAGATCCCACAGTGGCCAAACAAACAGGTAGAAGTGTCAGGTGCCAAGGTGCCTTATGGGAGGAGAGTATTGGTTTTTGGGAAGAAGGGAGCTTCCAGGAGGGTGTGGAGTTTGACCCCAAGCCCTTAAGGTTTGTAGAGAAAAGGAGTGAAGAGGACTTCATAGTAGGGGGGGGCAGCAGAGGCAAAGGCATGGAGTGACAGAGCAGGAGGAGGGGAACTGGAGCTGCTGGTGGCCAGAAGGGCCTAGGATTCAAGCCTCCAACTGAGTGGGTGTGGCTGAGCCATGACTGGAAACCTGGTCTCCATTTCCCCCTCACCCAGAGGAGTGACTGAGACTTAAGGGAGGCATAACCCTGCCAGGCATGCAAAAGAGGGGAGAAGGAGACACCTCTCGCCACTTACCTTCAGCTCCTGCACTGAGAGCTCATGGCCCAGCTCCCTAGTGCTGTGGATAATCATGGCCAGGGCATCGCCTGGCTCCCCAGCCATGTCTTCATGAAGTTTCTCTGCAATGGCCTCCTCCAGGTGCCGATGCAGCTGGTCCCTTGCCCGGATGCCCTGATGGTCAGGGAGAGAAGGGAGGTGGGGCAGGAAGGCTGAGGGGGCCAAGCCTGGGCACCTACCCCCCAAAATCTTCCCAGGGCTGGGCTAGCTCTACTGAGTTCCCAGCTTAATTTTATGCCTGGCACATAGAAGGGGCTTAATAAATGCTCAGGAATTTGTCCACTTTTCCAATACATCATTCTCTCCTGGTTATCACAAGTCCCCTTTGAGGCAGGCAAACAGTTTCTTTGGGCCTTATGGGAAGATGCTGAGGCCCAGAGGGGTCAAGCAATTGCCCAGAGTCACACAACTGCCAGTGCCTGGCACAAAGTTGTGTGTGTGTACCTGTGTGTGATCAGCCCATTGCCTTTCCCCTGCACTGGGCTCAGGCAGGGACAGTGGGTACCAGTGCAGAGAGCAAGGAACACCTTGGTGCACCCAGAAAAGCTCTGACTTAGAGGACACAATTGGATGTTTTTAAGTATTAGCCTCTGTAAGGGGGTAGGAAAGAGGGCCAAGGTGTCCCTCTAGAGTTCAGGGAGCAAGTACAGCAAAAGCATTTGAGCGCTTGAATTTTGTAGTCTGAGTAGATCCAGTTCAAATCCTGCCTCTCTGCCCCTCTACTAGCTGTGTGACCTTGAGCAAATTATTTAACCTGTCTGAGCTTCAGTTTCTTCATCAAACAAATGAGAATAACGCTTTGCAGGTTGAGAGGATTAGATCAGGAAATGTATACAAGGTGATCAGCCCATATAATGCCCCTTTATACATAACTATTATTTTTATTCAGGTGACTGAAAACCATCGCATTGGCACAGTGAGAAGGCCCAGCTCAAGGGGAAAGGAGAGGCGGGATGGGGCTTTCTAGTTGCTCCCCGGGCCTGGCCCTTCGCTCTGAAGTCTGAAGAGGCCGCGGTTCTCTGATCCGGAAAGTAGCGGGCCTGGGGCCCCGGGCGGGGAGCGGGCACCCACCCCTCTCCCACCCGGGCTGGCGCCGGGCTGGGCCGGGGGCGTGTCTGCGGCCCTAACGCTCCGGTCAGTTCCCCAGCCATCCCCGCTTCTAAAGGGGTGTCGGAGGCCCGGCCGGGAGGCGCCGCTCTGGGGAGGGGCTGGGCCGACTGGCCGGGCGCCTGCCACCGAGCAGCCAAAGGGAGACCCCGCGGCTGCTGGGACCAGAGCGCATCCCATTTGGAATGGCTCAGAGAGGGTGTGTGGCCAGCCCCGGGTCACACAGTGAGTCGGAGCAGAGGGCAACCCCGGCGCCCACCACCACAGCACGCCGCCTCCTCTCCCTGGGCCATGCCTCTGTCCCTCAGCAGAGGGGACGCGTGGGGGCGCCGAGGGAGCCTCAGGAGGAAGGTTGCGGGCTGGGGCGGCAGTACCTTGCGCAGGCCGCTGAAGGGCACGTCCAAAGGCAGAGAGAAGAGGTTCTCCACAAACTGCTCGAAGGTCCGGGCCAGCTCGGCGCATTGCGCCTCGTCCAGCCGTAGCCCCAGGAGAATGCGCGCGGCCATGCGGAAGGTTAAGGCTTTGGCGGCCTCGTAGACGGCCACCGGCCCGCGGGCCACGCACCAGGAGCGCACCTCGCGCCGCAGCGCCCCCTGCAGGCGGGGCACATAGCGCTCCAGCGCCGCGCGGCTGAACACTCGGGCCAGCACCTGCAGGGAGCGCAGGGGTGAGCCCTGGCCGCGGTCGGCCTCCTCTGCTCGGCAATTCCAGAGGAGCCAAAAGACCAATTTCGGGCCTTTTCCCCTCTTCCAAGCGGCCCGAACCTACACTTGAGGGCTTTTGCTCTCGCCATTCCCTCCGGTTCTTTCCAGACGCACACAGTCCCTCCCATCCATCCAGGCTCCAGCTGCCTCCCCCTCGAGGAAGTCGTCCCTAATCCCTCTTCAAGTCTGAGTTTCCAGAGCTTCTGGTATAAGAGTCAACGAAGATCTGAGACGAAAGAGCCTTTAAGTCCCAGTCCCGGCCGTAAAAACCGAAGTCGGAGAAGGTAAGGAACTGGTCCAAGCCCCCCACTCGTTGGCCAGGGGTCCCGGCCAGGTTCGTAGTGTACCCCTAACACTTAGTCGGGGCCTAGCCCACAGCAGGTGCCAGAGGAACCGCGGGTCTAAACCACGGCCCCTTCCATGGTTTAGGCTCACCTTGCGCCGCTGCCGGTGGGGCTCGCCGTCCGCGCCGAGCAGCGTGTGCGAGCCCAGGAGGATGTGCGCGCTCTGCGGCCACTGGCTGCGCACAATGCGGTGTTCGCCCAGCAGGATCGTGCGCACGTTCTCCGCGCCGCTCACGCGGATCACCGGCCTGCCCAGCAGGTGCGTCTTGAACACCGTCCCGTAGCGCTCCCGGCGGGAGCTGTGGAAGCGCGAGCCCTGCAGCGAGGCGCGGCCAAGAGGGCTGGGGCTGCTGGGGACCTGGCCCGGGCTCCCAACCGCCACTGGGTAACTCCCTGCACCAGGCTGGCGCGTTACTCTTTACAAAAGCCTCAAATGGGCCTCGCGACTACCTTACAGGAATTTGGATGCCCCTGTTCCCATTCGTGAAACGAGGGAAGTGCTCAGAATGGGGACGTGAACGCCCAGGGGCTCACGGCTGAGAGGCGTCCCTGACTCGATTCCACGCTCGCAGGGCACACAGGGTGGCATGCTCCTCAGACTCCTTCCTAGAACCCTTCTGTTCGCCCCACGATGTGTTGGGGCGTGTTTAAGCAGAGCTGGGGAGAACTGCGATGACAGACGGTGCTTTCAAGGGAGCAGCTGGGCGAAGGCGAGGGCAGGGTACGCTCCGTGGGAGACGGGAAGGGACTCGCTACGAACCCCGGGAGTACAGAGCGCGAGGGGAGTCTAGCGGGAGCCAGGGGAGAAGGGGCCATATCGGGTGAAGGGAACGACCGGCTGCTCACCTGAACTAGCCAGTGCAGCGTTTCGCCGAAGAAAGGCCAGCCCATCGAGCCCTTGGGCAGGGGCAGGGCGGAGGCCCGGT